TCCAGCTTGTTGATGAAGAAATGATTGACTGCAAACCCGTTGCCGACACATCTTTTCGAGAGCTCAGACTACAACTTAGTCCAATTTGCTAAAAACATGTTTTGTGTTTGCTCAAGGTAGTTGCATCGCTTATAGGTTAGGCAACTGACTTAAATCTAGTATTATCTCGTAGACTAGAATAAATACAAGTGCACCTGCATTCAAAACGCCTCCAGAATTTCGTATCAAGCTGTCATTTGGGCAATATCAAGTTTACTCTAAAATAATCCCTGCGGTGGTGTTTTTACCCTAAGTTTTGTGTAGCTATAAGTTAAAGACATCTGTGATTTATATTCGTAATCGGCCAAAATGCGCGGCATTTGCTCGCTGGCTGCCATGGTGCTTACTTTCTACGCGATCACCACGTGCACCAAAGCCGCCCTGATCGACACCGCCCGTGGTTTGTATTACGACAGTACCAGAAGTATCACCTCTGATATAAGCGCTCGCCGTCTTAGAAGGGAAGCGGCCGTATTGCCAGCTGCCGCGTTTCATCATCACCTAATGCAGAACCCGTCAGCACCTTCGACTCAATCGTCGCAAAATCGGCTCACTGAAAAGTGGTCGAAAGCTCTCGGTGTTCCACTGTTACTTGGTGCGGCAGCTGGCGTCGTTGTTGCTTCTGTCAAGATATTTCAAAAGCTGAACGAATTTGCCAAATAATGCTTACTGAAGTCACCTGAGTAAGTACAAAGCCCTCGGGCCCAGCATCTTAAATGGACTTAACTTAATTTTCATTTTACCGCAAATGAGAGGTTGAAAAAACAACTCAAGGAAAAAACAAAAACATTGTATTTTAAACGGAATAACTGAATATAGATCCATCAGCACATTATAAATATGCATCATTTCCGGATTCAACGGTAATGCAAAATACAAAAGTGAAAGAACAAAGTGAATGGGCTGTCTGAGGCATTAATATACAATTACACGTATAGGAAGGATGCATAAACTGCGATGCTGGATGCACCTTCTGGCATAATAAAGTTTGGGTCCTTCAACGCTCTCTGACAAGTCAATAAGCATCTCTGTAGGACTCGTCCTCCTACTAGGAGGACGAGTGTCGCCCAGTAACATTCCTTGAGCTTGCGCCACCGCCAAGTGCTGCTCTTGGATAAGCTCACGCAGCACGACGTTGTGCGCCACTTCGTTATTTAGCACAGTATCGTCCTCACCGAGTCGCACTAACGTCTGCAGCTCAAGGTTCTTTAGTTCAACCTGCAATACAGCGACCACCGCTTGCAACACGGCTTCTCCTTTTTACGTAACGCGTGCGTAGACTTTCGCTTCTTGTAGATGCGTTTCTTTTTCATTGGACTTCGCGCGCTGTCACTCGCGTCGGAATAACCATAGGACCATAACGCTATCGTGGCGACGCGGGTCGGTGACGTGGCAGTCATGTCGGACTCCACGACGTTTATTAGGTCTGCGATGCTCACAGCGTCGTTCATCGTGCAGTTTGAGCCAGTCGACCTTGGAATGATAGACGAAGCCAACCGATCAAGCGGAAGAGCAAGTGACAAGGACCATTGTGCTCCAGCGAAATACCGAACATGTAGTTACCACTACCAGGTTGCCGAAAAATTTATGGATAGAAAAAAGCATAATCACAAATTCTATTATGTAGGTACAGTAGACCTAGAGCCTCTCTGACGCAGTTAAGATACGTGCCCTGCGATCGAATCGACGTCTCTCGCATGTCCATCACGGCACCATGCGAGATGTTGAGGTCCGTGTGGCAGATTTTCGTGCAGGCCCAGCGCATGAGGACAACGACAGGCTCGTCCTCGCCTTCAGCTTTCTGCTTCGGTGTGTCCAGGTACGACACCAACATGGCGGCCGTCGTGTCACGTCGAACGCGCTCCCGCGGTCTGTACGGATACAGCTCGTCCTCGTCTACGAAGTCTGTGGATGTGACTGCATAGCAGTCTCTGCCGCTCTTGCCACTCTCTGTGTTAGTGTACTCTGTAAAATGCACTAAATTGTTCTCTACAAGGACACCTCGAACACGAGTCGCATCTGCGAGACCCTCTCGTCGTTCATATCGTCGTCCTCGCGCACTGTAATGTTGCCTGACGTCTCGGAAATGATGATCTCGACATTGAACGCAGCTTGGAGCACTGCGTCAAACACAGCGCGGACGCCTCCTTTCACACCGTGTAGCGGAGTGATCTCGAACCGGGCAATACAGAACCCCCCGTCCGCCGATTCGTATCGCTCTTCCTGAAAGTAGGGAGTGTTCGGTTTGATCCCACTGCTTCGTGCACGCAAGAACCTTCTGGCCTCTCGAAGTTTGACCCCTCGTAGAGCATGTAGCACGCGTCGTCTTTCCTCTCTATCTGCGCTGAGACAAATCTTGGTCTCCATGGGTCTCACTCCACTCATTTGGTGCTGCATCTGACCCGATAGAAATGCTCTCACCTGCGCCATCACCAAATGCTGTTCCTGAATCGATTCTTTAAGTACCGCGTTCTCTACTGCTCGGTCATGGTAGGAGTTCGACACTTCGCCCTGCTGTACCAGCGCCCGGAACTTAGCATCCTCAAGCTGGGCTTGAAGCTCCGCGATCTCCCTCTCCAGAACCGCCTTCTGCTCCTTTCGAATCGTGTGCGTCGCCTTGCGTTTCTTGTAAGCACGCTTCTTTTTCTCGGGTTCTTGTGGCACAGGAGAAGGTGAACCTGAGGCGGAGGATGCCGGAGATTCGTCTTTAACAACTTCTTTTTCGGGGTCGGTAACGAGATCCATCAATGAGCCGTCCTGAAGACTCGACGGCCAACAGGTAGATCCGTTCCAGACCTGCAACTGGCGGTTGGCCACGACCATGAGCGCATTATGTGGCTGACACTTCGCCTTGACAGTGGAGTTGGCGGTGGAGACTTGGAATGGATCCATGGACGTGGAGCAGGAGATTTTGATGGTATTTATTAGTCAAGTCTTCCGAGCATCGACCAGTGTGTCGGTAAATGCTCAAGTGATGACGTTGTGGATGAGCGTGTTGTTGGAATCGCCTCTGAAGTTGTGATATTATATTTAAGAAATTATGTTGAGCACGGAATATGAAAACCTTTGTCAAAGCGATTCAGTATAGTAATTGAAGTGGCTTTATTCTTTATTAGAGATTCTCGGCTGTTCTCACCAAATTATTTACGGTGCCGTAATCTTCCAAGACCCCGACGTTGACGTTCTCGGCAGTCGAGTCGACTAGGCCGAGTGGAGATCCAAGTGTGCTTCGAAGTAGTAATACGAGAGGCGCTCCTGCATGCGTTATGTCACTGACAGCAAGGCGAGGTGAAGAGGATACTGTCGGTCTGCAGGCTCGACATGAGATGGCGGGACGACCCAACTTTGGCAATAAAGATGTATGGGTCCGTCACGCCTGCAAGTTGGAGGCTGGGACACGCATCATGCGTCGCAAGGTCCTACGTACGCGACATGGACAGAGAGCCCTCTCTCTTTCTCGGCAATTTGAATTTCCATCTCGTCGACTTTTTTCACATTGTCAGAACAGAGCCTTGCAGATGAAATGTCGCTCTGTTTTATGGCCTAGATAAGACAACGCGCTAAATTAACCTTTAAAAACGATACATCATTGGCACCAATAATGAGAGAGAGGCAGACTGATCCATTTAACCTTAGTTTCTAGATGTCTGGTAAATCCTAAGCCTGGTTAGCAACGCCGGTGTCTGCGATAGATCCGGTGGTTGTGCGAGGCTTGTCAGCTCGTGTGACTGCTCTTTTGGTTCGTCTTCCAGTGTATTGGTACACACCCTCGAGTCGTGTTCCTTGCTCCATCCGTTCTGGTGAGCGGCGCTCGCGAAACGCGAGCGCCGTTAGCTGCCTGAGTCCGGTTGTCCAAAAATCTTGAACGGTGCCTTCGATAGATGTTTCCTCGTGCTGAAATACGACCCGATTCCTTTGAATCCACAGCGTGGTGATGCATACACTGGATAGAATACGTCAGATCCTCGTCCATTCTGCTCGGTAGAGCTTCTCGTCATCCGGATGAGCCGCTATGATGCTTCTCACTCTGGGCGTATTTAACGCTGGCGCTTTCCTGGCCGCGCAATTGCTGCGGTACTGTTCGCGCCGAATCTTTCTCTGTGATCACCCGTCGAATGACTGATTAGCTTGGACCAACACGCCTGCGCACATGAACACTCCCAGAAGATATGCGCTAGGGTCTCCTTCACTTTTTGACACTCTGGCAACTTCTGGCAGCTATTATCAATTAGTCGGCCTTCGTGGAAGAGGTTTAGCTGTGCCACAGCGACCCGGTACGCCACCCAAACTTGGTACACTGTTAGCTCGTTACCATGGGTCCCGAGCTGCTTCGGTAGTTGGCTTAGGGCCCCGCGTTGCCACTCGTCGGTTCTCCTCCGTGCCTCCAGTCCGTCCACTTGGGTCTTTAATCCTTTCTCTGCCACTTGGTAGCGTCTGAAAGGCTGCTTGTTTAGAGCTGACAGCACTCGCTTGTTAGCAATTGTCGCTGGCACCTCCCATTGTATGCCATGGTTCAAGGGGTGTGTCTCGAAGACGATGCTCCCGTCATCCTGACCGTGCTGAAGCACCTGAATATCCGGGTGCACCTCTTTCGCTGTCTCGGGACTCTCGACTACCCTCCAATTTATGCCGTTGGGTTGTTGATCGAGTTGGATGGTGTATGCCCCTCCAGCGGCATTATCCGTCGACACTCCGATGGCGCGTGTCTGGCTCACACAACTCCAGCTGTAGGAGTTCCTGAGCTCTGGTGATTCCGTAGGCGTAAGGCCGGGTTGACTTGCATGGATTGCCCTATGTCCAGCCGCGGCGAGCTCCTCAGAATCGCTATTGCCCAGCGCCGTAACTTTAGTTGGCGATGCCTCTGCTCGCCTGCCACGGGAATTATCATTGAGTATGTCCACCTGCCTGTCCTGTGAATTGCCAAGTCGGAGATCGAGCATTCCTGGAAATGGTTATACTTTCGGCTGTTGAGTGTGGCTCCCGTGCTGTCTACGACCCACGATTTATTCGCCCAATTGTACGTCGGCCAGAATTGCTCTTCCGACGTCGATCGCTCCCGATCGGAGGGTGGGAGCTCCACTATCCACTCGCCATCCGAAAACCAGCTGATAGATCGTTTTACCAGCTCTTCATCACGAAACTGGGCCTGCCTTCGGTCGTCATTAGGCAGCCGCGCTGTTTGCCACACCCATTCTCCCATTGTGTGCGCTAGTGCCACTCCGGGAGCATCCAAACTCTGATTGGCACCAATAATGATCGATTGCCACTTTTTGACCGACCAACGGCAACTAAAACGTATCCACCGCCAGTCATTCTACTAGCTTATAAGAGCGCACACACATCACCTATGCAACATCCAGCCAATTGCATCACGTAGACGTTACTATTTTAGCGAATGAGAGATGCACACATGTACATATCTACGGTAAAGATTAGAGCTCACTTCAGTGTCTTCTACTCAAGTATCACCCTCGCTGCCAATAAGCCCCTTCCTGTGTCTCAATGCCTCGCCAAGATCGTCTGGACCCTTCTTGCTACGGATATATCGTCCCACGACAGCAGCATGCTGGTGGAATCGCTCAAGGCCTACGTTGTGAGCAAAAGCGCCCTCACTTCGTGTGCGTTGTGTACGGAGCTAGTCCCGCATAATCTGCGCACAAATCTACTTCTGTGCAAGTGCAAAGCTAAGGATGTTGCTTCTACGCTCGTTGTCCATGGAAGGACAAGGTGCAGATCTGCATCTTGTCCAACGTGTTGAGCATCCTGGAGGCGGGTAAGCACATGTCACCCACCTCGTCCGGCGAGACTAACGGAGGAGATGAAGGCCTGCGCCCGGGATATGTGCACCTACAATCACAAACCTATGAAGATATTCCGCTGTATCGTCCGTCGTTTTGAAGTCGGAGGAGCGAAAATGCCATCGTTGGCAAAGGTGCAGCCCTTTGTGTAACACTATCATCGCGCCCACCTTGGTGGAAGCGACTTTCATGACAGTGTAGCAGCCAAGGTGAGTGAGCATGCGTACCGTGAAGAGGAGGAAGCGTTGCAGGCTTTCACGCTCACGTGGCACTCATCTGCCGATGAAGAACCCATTGTTGGCCGCGGTTCGGACTCAGATCTGCTTGCGGTGGGCATTTTCATCAAAGCAATTTCATACGCGGCTAGACCGCGATCCGCGATCGTACGTCTTACACATCGATTCAACAAATACGTTGAGCCAGGTGGAGTACCCGCACCTGGTGGCTGGGATCTCAGACTGTATGAGCTCTTTTTACCTGGTTGGATTTGTGATTCTACCACATCAAACCGAAAAACACTTTTCGGAGGCCTTTGCAATGCTGCATCACCTGTATACTCAAGTTACGAACAAGCAGATCTCTGTCCGCTACGTAATGGCCGATGCGGACAAGGGACAGAGAGAAGCTGTCAACGGGGCGCTCGGTGACGGCAATGAGCTCGTTAATCTAATGTGCTACTATTAAGTAGGTGCCAAGGTATACAAGAAGCCTGGCTAGATATTGCTGCAATGCACTACTCTACTTCGGAGGCTGAGCTCGAGCGCATTCGCATACGCAGCTCAGAAGCCTAGCAGATGTTACCGCATCGCATCTCTCTGCCTTCGCAAGCTACTTCTCCAGTGCTTGGATTGGCTTCCCGCTCAGACGCTGGCAAGCGCACCACACACCTCGTGGATTCGCTGCCACTAATAATCCTGTCGAGCAATTCAATCGCGCAATCATTCAAGCGTGATTACACGCTCCGATCACGGATAAAAATGGGTACTCTCATTGATCAGCTACTGCTTTGCGTCCACACTGATGCCATCTTAAGCAAGACATTCGCTACAACTGCTCAGATGTGCCTCGTCGTGCTCGTGAAATGGTGAAAGCAGGCACAATTCGCGAAGTATTCCCGATGAAGCACACCATCGGCTTTCTAATCGGCACGGCAACTCCACCGGCGCCAAAGGATATTGTCTACGTCTTGTCTGACACAATGGAGCGGGTTTATGACCCGCAGGACAGACGAACAAAGAAAGCTCTTCCTGCTACTGCTTCCATCTCAACGCAAAAAGCTCGGGTGGAGACTACTGATATGCCTGGAGCTGGCTGGGAGGCTAATGTGGAGAAGCAGACGTGCGGGTGTCGCGTATTTGTCAAGGCTGGGTGCTGCATCCACCTCGTTTATGGTCTTTCAGTGAGGGATAGACTCGATTTCTTTGGTGGTGCACGTCTTGTTTACCGAGGCAGAAACAAATCTCGTCGACTCGAAAGCGAGTCGCAAGGGGCTGGCAGGCCTGTAGGTAACAGTAGCGCACTGCAGTTAGACTAGAGCGTTTGAAGCATCTAATGCATTCACTCATTAATTCTGTCATTCACTCGTAACAGCTAGAAGTGGAGCGGTCCCTACCAATTCACCCTCCGACCGCCACCAACATATGCCTATTGATCATGACACACAATGCCGCACCTCTACAATGCTCCACCACCGCTTTGCACGGCTCGCACCGCGCGATTTTCTCCAGATTGCCGGCGCTGTTACACTCTCCCTCATAGTTCACTGGTGTCTGTAGCTTCTACTGTCTACACAGGAAGCGCATGTTTCTTAGCGGGATTTTTACAGCGCCTCAACCACCTTCATATAGATGGAGATCATCTTCTCTGCCCTTTCGGGCTCGCTGTACTTCAAAAACGTAGCGTTGGTCCGAATACTGGGTATGTGCGGCTAGCTACGGGTACGAGGGTGCTAATGAGGTTTTCTGGGGTTCAGGAATACCCCTGTAGCGTTCTGCAGTGCCACGATAACGTTGCCACTGCTTATCAAGTGCCCGTAGTGTGGCACACACGATGACACAAGCACTGCATGTACCCATAGACAGCGGTGTATTTTATGTGCAGCTTTTGGCGCTCTACATATTATAGTAATGTCCCAATCAAATCTAAGTGGAACAGTGAATTGTGGATGCAAACAATCAATTTGGAAGGTGTTTTTGGTATTTTGTCCCTAGATAGAGCACGGTTGGCGCATAAAAACAGGCGTAAAACTGCTAAAGGAAAGGCATGTCTGGTATAATCATATCTGCACTCGATTTGCGTTTCAAAAGCGCAAAAAAGGGTAGCTTTAGAATACATCGATGTCGATTTGTCGTAAATCGACCACGAGCGCTTGATTTGGCTTGTCGTAGCTCGATTTTTTAGCCATTATAATTTGGACGATCTATCCCTTTTTATAACCTCGATATTTAAAATGACCCCGGTTTATTATAAATCGAGCACCCACCCTAGTGGTAAACGACATAAGCTTTGCAAAGCACAATACTTGTACCAGTGTATGGTGATACAACGCTATTTGTTTCCAGTTACGCGGTTAACCCAATGAACGCCGTAATCTGTATAATACGTAATATGACATGATGCAGGTTTAAATGAATCAACAGCTTGGACGCGGCGTCGTTTAGGCTACTACACCGCATATATAAGTTTGTATAGACCACCATGGGAGTTTTTATCATTACCGATCGGCGAGGGGGAGATAGAAAGGTATTATTCGAAACACATAGAAAATCCGATATAAACGGCCTAGAGGTTTGACAATTCTAATGCAAGCCCTTTAGCTCCTCTCTGCCCAAAACCTCCACCACTCAGCCAAAAATGCCGGAAACGATCGACAGGAAGGAGTTCAAGCGTCTGTGGGGGTCGCTAAAAAAGGCTGGTTGGCGGGCAAGACCCCCTCCAGGCCTCCTCTCCGATCATGCGTATCTCAAGCCTGGCGTGAAAGGAAAGCTAGACAACTACAAGGCTGACACTGATTACTTTATCGGTACGTTGTGTTTAGCAGTAATAACTACTCCCTCTAACCCTGTGTGGTGTAGGTCCCAAGCCTTTGTGGAAGTATGCTCTGCGTGAGGATCTAGTACCTTTCCCCCCTCAGCAATGTAGCCATTCCTAACAGAAGCAAGTTCAACCCTGTGCGCGTCTATAATAAGGAGAAGCCTCACAAGTACGGGACTAAAGTGTACATGACGTGCTGCGCGGAGACCGGATACTGTACTCGGTAGGTGGTTTACTGTATTCTGTATCTGGTTACTCTGTATCGTATAGAATAAGAAACCGAGTGCTTACCGTATGCTGTATTGTGTAACATATAGGATGGAAGTGTATCTCGGCGCTGTAGAGAACTCGAAAGGTGTGGCACAGAAGGCAGTCATCAGGAACGTGACTAAGGCGCTTGATGGCCAGGCCCATAAAAGGCTTATCATCGCCGACAATTTCTACACGTCGTGTGCTCTATTGCTGGAGTTATTGGACAAGGATCTCTACTACGTCGATACTCACCGCAACATGCGGCTTGGGTGGCCCAAGCCGTTTGCTTTTACGCAAAAGAAAAGACCGAAGACTATGCCCCGAGGCTTGTATCGAATTGCGCACGCGCGTGATCATCCTGGTCTCGTTGCACTGAGCTGGATGGACAGCAAGCCTGTCGCGCTCCTCGCGACGGAATGCTCTACAGTTCCAACGACTGTAATGCATAGAGCGAAGGGGGAGACAGAGCGTGTTGCGGTACCGTGCCCGCAGCTTGTGGTTGATTATCACCAAGGTATGGGCGGAGTAGATCGCCATGATCAACTCCGCCTTCAGCGCTATTCAATACAGCTTACTGTGGCCCTCAAAAAGTACTATCGGCGCATCTTCATGGGTTTTGTGGACATGGCGATAGTCAACGGTTTTATTTTACATAAAATTATTCTCAAGCAAAAAGGGCTGCCAGTGCCAACACACGCGCAGTATATGCGCCGACTTCATACCGAGCTTTGGCCACGAACGAAGCCACACTGCGTACAAACACCAACGCCGAGGACCTCGTTTGTGAGCCTATTCACACGCAACCGCACAGACTGCGAAACAATGAGGAAAAATACAAAGGCAAGAAGCGAAAAAACCCAGAGATGGATCAACCGCCAGCAACCTCCAGCGTAAAGGGCAGAAGCGTAAGGGCAAGCGCCGCCAGCACTTGTGCAAAGTTTGCTCAGCCTTGGCAACTCCCCAGACAAAGAGCTTTGAAACCAGTTACTACTGCGAGCAGTGCACATCAAACTTCGGAGGCTACGTACCTCTATGTAACAAGGTTCGCCACGAGGAAACCGGCAACACGCTCACATGCGGCCGAATATGGCATGATTTGTGGCGCAACGGCACTGCC